AGGCAGTTTGCTTGGCGCTTAGTGTGATTAGATGAAGGTTTGGGGGAGAGGATCTGGCTTTTTGCAAGGTTAAGGTGGAGGCCAGTTGCTTCCTCAAATGTGGTGAGGAAACTTCTGAGTTTTTTGAGATTGGGTAGGGATCCGTTTGTGAAGATCAATACGTCATCTGCGAAGGTAAGATGATTTACTATTTGGATCCTCCCCGTGTTGTATTTTCTAATCTGGCCAGAGTTGTGGAGGTGATTAAAGGATCTTGTGAGGCCTTCCATGGGAATGATGAAGATGTAGGGGGATAAAGGATCTCCCTGTCTTACACCTCTCTTGGGATTGAAGCTTTTGGAAGGGTTGCCATTGATGAGGGGGAGAACTAAAGATAAACACAACTACCATTAGATGGAATGGGAAAAGATCTGCTACCCTAAGGAAGAAGGAGGATTGTGACTCAATTCCCTCATCACACTACAGGAAGCTTATGGTCTTAAGATGTGGTAGAACTACATAAAAAATGACTCACTTTGGGTAGCCTACATGAGAACCATCCAAGAGGAATCAACATTCATCCCCAGGCAATTGATTCACCCACATGGAGAAGACTTTGCTCAATTAATGAAAAAGCACCACTCACATTAGGCATCACTGCTGACAACAGAGTTAAATGGAACACTGGGGAAATGGACTTCAGCATTAAACTTGCAACAAAAAACCTAAGACCCCACAACTCACACATACCTGCAATGTCCTTCATATGGAACCCCACCCAAATACCCAATGTCTCCACCTTCCTCTGGAAACTCTACCATAGTCTCCTACCGTACCCCCAAAAACTAACAAAGATGGGATATAACCTCCCATCATTCTATTTCTTGTGCAGGTATAGTGAAGAATCAACATGGCACTCCTTACACGAATGCCCTTTCAGCAGAGAAATCTGGAATTATTTTGAGGAACTCTTTGGAATTCACAGAAGTGTCAACCATGGAATAAGAAGTTTCCTCTTAAATTGGTGGAATCAGCTGAAAAAAAACACAAAGGACTACAACCTAAAAGTTGCACTGCCAGGATTTATAACGCACGCTATTTGGAAAGAGAGGAACTTTCGCATCTACAATGAGGAAGAACATACAACAGCCCAGATACAACACCAAATCATCAAACAAATTTACGAGTATAGCGCAATTAAAGGGAAAGGAACCAGTATCACTAGCCATCTACCAGTCACAAAGATGGGAGCAATACAGACCTTCAGATGGATTT